AGCGAAGCCACCCGGTGCTCCAGGAACTCCCTCAGGAGCGTAGCCCCGGTCAGCTTTGCCGCCACCAGGTTGCCCGGCTTCAGGTTCGCGTCCATCCTCTCCAGCACCACCTTCGCGCGGGGGTCGACAAGCTCCGCGCGAGACCACGCATCGACGGACTTGGGCTGTGCCATGGGCAGTACCAGTCGAGGGTGGATGCGCCCAGCGTCCACCATGACCCACTTGCTCCGGAAGCCCTCAATCCTTTTCCCGGGCTTTGATATGGCATTGGAGTTGGAGTACACGATGAAGCTCGCGCATGCGGTGATGTGAGCACCAGAAACCCGGAGGGAAAAGTAATGGCGCAGCAGATCCACTGAGGGCCTCACTCCAACATGAGCATCGCAATAATAGGCGAAAATCGCTAGGAGGAGAACAGAGTTGGGGTGGAGGTGCAGAGATTGCAGGTTGTATTGGCGGAGGACAGCTAGGAAGAACTCGGAAAAGGGAGGCACCAGACCGGCGACGATGGCACTCATGAAGAGCGGGTAGAAGGTGCTCCCCTTGTCTTCAGGCAGGGCGGAGCCGACCTTGAGCACAGCCGCCCCCTCGTTGCCTTGCGCCACCATCATCTAGCACGTGAGGGTGAGGTTCTTCTCCGACACGTTCGGAGGATCCAGAGCGGGTGAGTACTAGGCCCCGACCGGAGACTTATGAGGCGCCATGGCTTGCCGAGGGTGCGGGATTGAAGCAGATCTGGAGGATTTCGGAAGCGAGAAGGAGGAAAGCGAGAAAGGGGATCTGGAGCAATGACTGGTGAAGGCAAAGAAGGTAAGCCTGTCCCGGGGCTGCCCTTTTGTCAGACAAACAGTTGCCGAGGCATCGTGGGGAAGCAGGGACGCCCACGTCCAATCAACCGCCACGCGGCGCCCAAGGTCGCAGGCTGTTGGGGCCCGTGGCGCTTCGCACTTGCCCCTTCGCTTCTCTGCTAAGCCAAGTCCGGGCGCGCCTTGGGCCCGGGGGCTACTGTCGGCGTTCTGGGAACGGGGGTACCCAGACTTGCCTGCCCGCGGCCTGCAGCGTGGCTCAAGGAGTGGCCCAGTACGGCCCATCTTCGTCAACACAAGCTCAAGACCCTCGCGAGGGGCCAAGCCTCACGGGGCGGACGACAGGAAGCTTCCTCAAGTGCGGCCTCGTCAGGCTGGCTCGCGAGGAGGCGGAGAGATCAAGGCGGGGTACCTCACGAGGTGCCCGTGACGCAAGCCATGATGACCGAAGCCAGGCGGGCGCCAGGCAGGCGCCGGCCTGCGCAGTGTCCTTGTTTCCTCTTTGGTGCAAAGGGGGCAAGCGCAGGCCAAGGTATCAAGCAAAGGCTACCATTTCGGCGCAACAAGACCAAGACCAGCAGCACGGCAGGATGGAGGTCATCGTGTAGCCCAGGACGGCGTCATCGTCAAAGCCTTTGGCAGGCGAGGACCAACTTTAGTCAAGATAAGTGTACTAGATATCCCCCTTCAAAAATGGCCAATTGTTGGCGCCCTTCCCGCTCAATATTTGGGAAGAGGACCAGAGCCTCGCTCTATAAATAGGACTAGCCATTCTCAAGGCAGTGGATCGACCAATCGAACCCGAGCCAGAACCATCCACACCAACACAAGAACTCCTCCCCTCGCGAGGCTGTTCTTTCTTTGTATTGTTCATCATCAGCCCCTGAGGAAATCCACACACCACACACTGGAGTAGGGGATTACACCACAATGGTGGCCTGAACCAATATAAACCTTGTGTCCCTTGTGTTGTTCTTCGTGTAGCCTAAATCCTTTGCGAGGCGACGAGACGTGAGTTGGTAGAGGAGTGTTCTCCGCGCGCAACCCAGAGTTCGAACCTTAAGGGTCTGCCGGAATCCAAAATCCGACAGAGTTGTATCAGGGAGGTCATCGGTGGAGATTGGTGCCATGACAATCTCCCCTATTTGTTCCAGGTGGTCCTAAGTCGTGAGGCCAGGACGCGCCCTAGCCTTTGGGTAGTCGTGGGGGCGCTTGCATGGACATTGTGGACTGGACACAATAAGCTCGTGATCGAGCATGTGATTCCATCTCATGCGATTGACTCTATCTACAAATTGTGTAGCTTCTTACAACTTTGGAGACCGCTCAGCAAGCGGCGTGATCGGGACCTCATCGACAGGATCACCTCGGTTCTACATACCACTGCCGGAGCTCTGGCGCCACCGCTCCCTCCACCACCCCCCGAGCCGGATTAGTTAGGCTGTGATCCTCCTTTAGGGGTTTGTTTTGGTTGTGCCCCCAGCTTTCTAGTACTTTGCTGCACTTTGAGTTCTTGTTGCCCTTGTTGTAACTTGTTTTCCTTCCTTTATTTGGTTGAACCTTTGTGGTGGCCTTTGTTACCGGATGATGTTGTGGCGGTTGCTTTATAATCTAAAGCGGGGGGAAACCCTTTTTCGTGAATCGGGCGCGAGGAGGCGAGGCGAGTCGGGAGGCACGACCCAGGGCCGCGTGCGAAGAGAGGAGGAGCCGACCGCGGGCCATGGCCAGAGCACGGGTAGGGAAGGAGGGAGGAAAGGGCGCGTGTGGCCGCCGGGGAAGAGGCGGCATCGCCGGAGATGGCTTCGGCGGGCGGCGGAAACTGGAGGGGAATGGGGCTGGTGGTGGCGGGCTGGGGCTGGATCCGAACCGCCTCGCCTCGTTCCTCCGGTCCGTCGCCTCCCTCGACCTCCCAGGCTACACCACCGGCGGCGGCTGGTTCTTTGCCACCACCGTGTAAATACAAGGAAAAGGGAATTAGGATAGGCGTTCCTTTCGGGGGAGATAGTGTGTTTTTCCTAGCAACGTACGTACGAATGCGATTTTGTCCGGTAGCGCGTGCGCTCGTGACGTTCATTGGGCGCAGCTGCACAATTCAGGTGGTGTTTGTTTCTCTAGTCCTAGGACTTTTTCTAGTCCCTGAGACTTTTTGAAAAAGACTCTCAAGGAGGTGCTTCTAAGGACTTTTAGCAAAAAGTCCCAAAAAAGTCTCATCCTATTTAGTTTGCTAGGGACTTTTTTTAATCCCTACATCAAAAAGTCCCTGAAAACAAACACCCCCTCAGTATTTGGGTTTCTGCAATACTGAAAACAAAACGCCACCCTGACCCCCAATTAACATTTGGATATTTGGGCCGGTCGGCTGGTTCTGAAACCGAACGCGATAGAGAGAGAGAGGAAATACTAAGATGCCGCGACGTTATCGCTGTTGCACTCAAACTTCGGATTAGGATTCAGTGTCGCGGGCTGACAGCGCCCAGAGCAGATTCCTCTCTGCCCCCGTCGTCGCTTCTCCCGCACGGGAGAGACACGACAGGCGGCGCTTTGTAGCAGTTGGAGCCCCAAAAGCAGCCCCGGCCTTGTCCATCGCGAGCGGAAAGCTGAGGTCACGGGAACACGCGACCCAGCGCCCGAGAGGCACGGCCATGGCGCCGCGACGCACGCTCTCGCTCTCCCTCTCTCTCTCTGCTGCTGCATGGCCGCTGGTTTGTGGTTCGGCAAAAGGAGAAAAGAAAGATGCTTCCGGGCATGCATAGGCTGTGGAGCGAGCTCAAGGCCTTTCCCTCGCGCATGGAAAGCCGTGTCCCCTGTTTCCCGGGCCGTTCACCTAATCTGCCGCTAACCTCCGATTCTTCACTCACTAAACTCCTCACCTAAAAGCGACATGGACACCTGTGCCTTGTCCGGGACTCCCATGCCTTAATCTACCAAGGTTAACGTATTCTATCTCCATAACATAACATACGACGAGCTTTTGTACACATAACACGGTACACAGGGAGATGATATTTGTAACATGGGATTATAATTTTACTTTGAAATACTCCTAAGCAACGAATGGGTCAGAGACAAGAACCGGAACAGACCTTCTGCTGATGTCTGCGCCTGCTGCCCGCTGTTGCCAAGATTCTCTGCGTGTGGCAACCATTCCTACCCTTTCAGTCATGCGGTATACATGCCAAATGATTGTGTCCTCGTAGCTCCTGCCTCGCTACGGCAGTATAAAGGGCTTTCCAACCTTGACTGCTGCACGGCTCGCTGTTCTCCCCGTCAAAACGTGTTCTACGCCACTTCGCTAATGCGCTGAAGTTTTCTCTCGGCCGCGCGCGCTGTTACATTGGCAGCCGAGCAGAGCTGTAGTAGTACACTGCCTCAGGAGATTCAGCTTCTCTCGTGCACAGTCACAGAGCAGCAGGGTACCACAGCCCTCTGATCCATCCACTCTGTCTGGTCCTCTTGCCTCCATGAATGCATGAGATGCCGGCCAGCCAGAGGTTTCTTTTCTTCCTCGTCGCCTTGCTCCTCCTGGTGGCGACGGCGGCGGCCGGAGGGGACGACCACGCCGCCGGCACGACCGAGGCGGCCGCGGAGGCGCGTCCGCCCGACGCGGCGTTCGACGTGCGAGCGAGGAAGTGGTGGCCGCGGGTCCCGGCGACGGAGGGCCTCGTCCGGGGCAGCGAGCGCCGGGTGCCCAACTCCTCCGACCCGCTCCACAACCGCTGACGTGATTACACCACCGCTGCCTGCTCCCGTGCCATCCGATTGTTGGCGCTCCCGCGTCGCCCATGCTTCATGCTTGGATCGTGGCTGCCGGCTCTGCTAGATCAGAGGCCCAAGATGCGTATACAAATGTAGCTCATTTTGCCTTTTGTTGGCTCCAGTGTTTTGTAATGAGAAATTGATCGGCGTTTTGCCGATCTGTGCATACACATTTGACATTCCTTCTTCTTATAGATGACTAAAGTGCAGTTCATAGTGGGCAATTCGATAATACTGTCTTGTTTTCGCTTCAATTTCTGCAAAAAGAGATGGCATGTCGGGCCGCGGACCCACTTGTCAGCCTACGCCAGTCGAAGCCTTCGCCTCAACGGGTTGCGTTCTCCAGTCTCCGCCTCCGCTGCGTCAAAACATCAAACGGCTTGCGCGCGCGACGCACCGGTTCAGTGATCAACCGCAAGCGCCGCCGCCGCCGCCCGAATGTCCATCGCTGCCGGCGTCGCCCTCGCCGTGGCCGACGCCGTGTGGGCTCAGATCAAGGCCGGGGGACACGCCACGGACGAGCACCTGTCCATGTAAGTGAATCCAAACAGGCCCGGCACCGCCGCGGCGCCACCGTCTCGCTCGGTTGTTAATTCATGCACGCCTCGCCGTCTCGAGCCCCTGACCTGTTCTGGCGTGCGTGCAGCCTCGACCACCTGTTCGGCAAGAACATGCTGCGCGCCTGCAAGATCCTCGACGAGGGCGGTGTCCGCCGCGTCACCGGCGCGCCCAGCGGCCGCTCGCTCTTCCTGGTTGGCTCCCGCACCTTACCTTTCCGTCCCCACGGCTGCTCGTGTTGTGGCCGAGCCAGCAGGCGATCAGCCGGTTGACGACGGCTTGTTTTGGTTTGGCGCTGCAGGTGATGGGGGAGTCCAAGAGGAAGGAGGAGTACATCTGCTTCCCGGAGCACCTCTGCACCTGCTACTCCTTCTTCTATGACATCGTCGGCCGTGGTGAGCAGCTCTGCGTAAGTGCCGTCTCTGTTACTTCGTCTGGCCACATTATTCACCGAGTCTAGTGAAATTCTCGATTAGAGGAATGGATGTATTTGGAATCCAAAATAAGCATTGGACTGTTACAGGCTTACAGCTGCAATCGGTAGCTCTTGGTTACTGGGAAATCTTGTTTTGATTTTGGGTTATTGTTTTTGTTCTTTCCAGTGTAAGCACCAGTTGGCAGCGCGGCTCGCAGAAGCTGTCGGCAAACACCAGGAGATGGAGGTGACTGATGAGGAGCTCGCTCACATGCTTGCTAACCTCTGACTGCTTGAATATTTCAGTAATGCACAATACATTTATGAATGACTGTCCTTTTGGGGGTTGTCTCACCTGTGTCATTCTAAAAGACTGAATTTAGCTTAATGAAGTGTTATGATCATCTAGGTAAGGTCTTCCTGAGTGCTATATAGGCTTGGGAATCCTTTCGCTGCAATGTTATGCCACATGGATTGTGTATATAGAGATAGGAAAAGGGTGTCCAAGAAACTGTGGTGAAATCTGCAGGGTTAGAATATTATCACCTTGTTTCTCTTTTTGAGAAACCAGCATCACCTTCTTTTTCATTGTATCAAATTACAAGAACGAGACCGTGAAATCATTGAGTTATGTGAACCGATCAATGAATTGAGATGAATAGTTTTTCTTTCATATCGAGTTAGCCTTTTGCTGTCCTTCAACACATTACAATTTTTTCACAAGATATCTTCTTTTCCTATGATGCTTTTGTGTAGTGATGCTTTGGTAGAAGGAATCATGATATGATACACAATGACCATATGGTTACAGAGTTCCTGATATTTGAACTTGACGGTTCTTGCATACTACAGTAATTGATACTCCCTCTGTAAAGAAATGTAAGAGTTTTTAGATCACTACTTTAGTGATCTAAAAAGTCTTATGTTTCTTTACAGAGGGAGTATATTCCAGTATACTACAGTGAAGCATAGTTAATTTTGCAAATGAGCATCATGATAATAATATCTGAGATATGGATGCTAATATACCTGATTGGCTAGTTCCTGGACCACATGTTTCACTGTATCTGAGTACCTTTGGTTTATTTGGTGAGAAGATGATGCCCTTAGCTTAATACATTGAAGTTTTTTGGTGAATACTACACCTTAAAAAACCAGCATAACTAATACAGATAAATATTATTAAGCTTAGAAGAATGTTGTGGTTTATCTATAATGTATGACTACTGAGTTCTAAACATTAAAGACAATAACACCGCGATCTTCTAGCTTTGAAGTATATCATTAATGAGAGAGTCTTCTGAAAATCATATAACATCAAAAGAGTTTACCGAGGTGGCTTTCCAGAAGGACATGTGATGTATTTCGGAGACATTAGTTTCCAATGATTTTGTGAGCCAACAATTTCTGCATATACAGTATAAGCGTTGGAAGCGTTCTCATGGAAGTTTGTAGTGTACATTGTAGCCAACAGTTGTGGTCATCCCGTGTTTCCATTTCTAAAGTATTTCTTTTGGCATCTCACATTCTCACCTTTTCTCTATCCCCTAGTTTGTTTTTATGCTTGCACAAGAAGATTCCTATGCCATGCACTCGCCTTCAGCATTAAAATAACGAATTTTGTTCTTTCCACGTATGCATCCATTGACATGTCAATATATTTATTATTATTTTCTCTGATTCTTCCACACTATTTTGCTTGTATTCATGCACACTGATGGACCAATTAACATCCTGTCGTTGACAAGAATACACATATTCACATGTACGACTTGAGATATGCAAATGCAATCTATAAGGTTGCAGCAGTTAGCCTTTATATGATAATAGTTCAATACAACTGGTGTTGTTTGATAAGCTCCAAAGTCCAGAGCATTCATGGTTGCCAACAAACTTCCAATGCATAGAAATGTTTTAAGTCTTTGATAAAGCAGCAAATGTGTTGCATGTAGTTTATCTTTTGAAATAACGTTTGGTGATCAAGTGAGGCGCATAAAATTTGAATTGGAGTCCTTAGAGCAACGCTAATCACCACGACAGCGCTGACTAAAGTTTGTTTCTTATCTCATTTATAGCTTAATACTGATTGGTGGATTGTATGTATGGTTCCTACTTCTTAGTAACTAGATTGAAGATTACTCAAGTTTAAACTTGTTACTCTTTACCAGGTATCACACATAGATTATTGTTTTCTAGTTTTGAAACTTGTCTGAGAACTCACCTGCAACTGTGGGTACAAGTTTGGAATCTTATTCCCTCACCTCAAAAGATGATGCAAAATATTGACTTCACAGAAAATGTTTATACATGGGATTATGGATTAGAAATTACAAATGCAGGCTCAAATCAATATTTTCCTCTGGTTGCTTCATGGTCTCCTGAAGACTTGCTTTGAAGCTCCCAGGCCACACTAAATAGGCAGCTTCCTCTACTGCAAAAGGCATCCTGTTTCTCATTTGGCCGTCATGAAATCTTGCAACAACAACAGCGGCCCTTTCACCTTGTGCAGTCAGAATTGTGGAGTGGGGGCTGGCCCTCATAGGTTGGATGAAGGAAGCAGTTGGAGGAAAGCGTATCATCAGTTGCTGAAAGCTTCGTGATCTCCTGGCTGCACACCTTTCCTTCTTGTGTGCATTCTGGTGCCCGCCAAGGGCCTGCGAGCTGAAGAACTTCCTCAGGCAGTAGTTGCAGGAGAACGTCCGTTGAGGGGTGGCCACAGGTTTGGCCTCTGGAGGCTTAGCCGCTTCGCTTCTCAGTGCATCGAGGCCCAGCTTTAGCCATGGCGTTGAGGTATTGTCATCGGCGCGACCAGCTTCATCACCTTGATTACCTAATATCTGTTCTTCTGCTTCAGGTCCCCTCTTCATCTTTCCTTGTTGGGAGTGGCACAATAGAGGATTGCTCTAGGTTTGTGTTATGATGGTAGTCCTCTGGTTGGTATAAAAAGGAGCAGGGGTCTGCAAGTGGCAATAATTCAGGGGTAAAGGCAAAAGTTTCCAGGAGTTTAAAGTGGATCAGGATATGCTAGTCTGCATGCCTATCAATTTTCCTAGTTTGCTTACGTACCAGTTTCCTTGTCGTGGTGGTCAGCTCGTTGGCTTTTCGTTATTCCGTAAGGTGTGTCTTTCATGTATACTGTCCCGTCACGGGAAACTTCAGTTTCTTATCTAGTTCTTTCCTGATCAGATATGGGCTTATTTTGGGTACCAATGTTGCAGTACATATCTATGACGTAGTACAGTTAAAAAAACCCTCATAGTATGATTGACCATTTTCTGATTTGCTCACCTGTCATCTAGGAATCCACTGTTCATGTTGGTATACTTCCTTGCCATGATTAGTTCAGAAATGTATGTGGAAAAGAAGTCTGTTACGGTCGAACGGTGAAATTGCCTTCTTATTTTTCGCTGCTAGATTTTGTTCAGAGTCAATAATGAAGTTTGCGTGGATTAACCCCATTTAATATGAACCCTTTCCAGTCGATTAGTTTGATTGACAATATAGCACTCTCAGTGAAAAGTGCTACGGCCTAGATATTATTTGTTCAAACGTAGTTGTTGCTTTTTTTGATTTGAGGTCATCATTGATCTTATCTCATGCACGTTCTCTCTCTTTGTCTCTTGAGGCTCAGGCATAGACGGCGCCTGGCATTCTCTATCTAACCCTAAAGCTTAGCCTGCATCAGCGGCTTCGAAATGACTTCAGCTTGAGTGCATCCGCCACTCTTTGCCATGAGCGGTCGGCACTCCCCGAGGTAAACACACAGGAGCTTTCTGCCCGGGAACAAGTGGATGGTCATGATCCACTCACAGCACAATGATTGTGCTTATTTATTCTGTATAGTGATACATGGAGGAGCACTTTTGAGTTTTGACTGCTCGCCTCGGAGACAACTGGGCCTATATGATTATGAGCCATGGAAATGGACCGCTGCTTTCTCTCGGGTCACAGTGAGGGAGAGACGTGAGGTCGGATGCTGATTGCGCCTGGTGGATTGGTGACTCTGGCAGCCTGATCCGGGCGGGGTAGGGAGGGTGTTGGGAGTAGGGAGCGCTGCGCCGACGCAACAGGATTCGTTTTGTTCGACGCTGAGAAGAATTCTTCAAACCCCGGGTGGGCAGGTGGGCAATGACGGCCTGGTATGTTATACGTCGCTCTTAGGGATGGCACCCGCCGGGTTTGGGTATGAGTAGAGTTACCCCATACCCTTACCCATCCTCCTTGAGCTTACCTATTACCCATACCCATATCCGCTAATGGGTACATATTTTCCCCATACCCATCACCCGGCAAGGTAAATGGGCACCCACGGGTAAAAATACCCGTGTGCACACATCAACTTGCGCAACAAGTAGTCATAATGGACAAGATATCATTGACCTCTTTCGTTTCATTTCTAGCCAAACTTTAGAAATTATCTTCTGCTTGCGTACTTTGTTGACCTCTTCCACCTCCTTCTGTACATCTTAATCGTCGGAAAGAACAACATGATCTCCATCTTCATCCATTGGGGCAGATGTATTATTTGCATATTCACAAGGAACATGTACTTGGCTGCTGAGCTTGTACTACTGCGGAAGGAGCATAAATAACAAAATAGACATCAAATTCATATATATAGTCTACTGAATATAATACTTGATTATTAATGATCACTGAAATTATATTCTATTTATAGAAAAATTATATCGAATATATACATAATATACACTACGTACATATCGAATATCTTCTATTTATAGAAAAATTATATTCATCACAACAGCTATATACTGTATACATCATGTATAAGCAGAAATCAATGCTTACATGCACGAATGCATCACCTCATCCATATAAAAAACTACAAGATCAATGCTCCATCCATCGAAGAGATCGGGGTTGTCGTGCCATGCTCCTGGCCGTGGTGGTCGCCGCCCTCTGACTAAATCCGCATGAGTGTGAGCTGCATCTGCTTCTCCCGGTCGCGGTCCTCACGCAAGCCGTGGTCCTCATCCGCAAGGTCCATGGCGTCCGAGCGACTGGATGCGCTAGCAATGGCGAGGCAGTGCTGGAGGCGCTGGCGGCGGCGACTAGCAATGTGCGAGGTGGTGAGGAGAGGAGATGAGACGAGGAGATTAAGAGGATATCTATCTAAATATGGGATGTGATCACGTACTCATTATTCACCATCACCTAATCGCGTTAATCTAGGAGAGAAGGAGAGATTTATGGGATTCGTTCTGCCATTACATGTTTCCTTTCCATGTTACCATTTACCTATTGCCAACGTGGGCTACTCATGTAGTCAACGGCTACGGGATTAGACTCATTTTATGGCAAGTTAAATTAGATAAATAAATAGTGAAGGCCCACTTAATATATTTTTTGTGGGTCAATGGGTACACGGGTATGGGTTATGATATCCCATACCCGTACCCACAATACCCGATGGGTTTAATATTTTCTTATTTATGTACCCATGGGTAATTTTTTATCCCATACCCTTGCCCTAATAGGGTTTTTACCCGCCGGATACGCGGGTAATGGGTACCCATTGCCATCCCTAGTCGCTCTCGTCCCTGTTCGCCCTGCCTCATACCCCATCTCGTTCTGCAGTGTTGCGGCAGGTTTTCGTTGATCTGCGTTGATCCATGCGACCAGGGGCGGATCCCGTTTCCTGTGCCGCTACATCACCTTGGTGACTTGATGTGTGGCATCTTTTGATGTGTCAGTGATATAATCTCAATAGGGAACACGACCTTTTCACACCCATAACTCATCGGGCATGTTTGTTTGCCTGCATCATTTTTTGTCACTTTGCATACTTGTCCCAATTAGGTCTGGTTGAACAAATACATGCAAAAGGCTAACATCCGCACATCGTTTGGTTGCCTGCGTACTCCATAGCCTAGCTGCGAAGAAACGCAAGTCACACTTGACTTGCGGGATTGTTTAGATAGAAACACAAGTCATGTTGTTTGATAAGATGCAACACATGTTGTCTAATAACCTCCTTTCGAAGTGGTGGGTTTAGAAGCATGCTCGCAAGGAGGACATAGATAGCAACCAGTTTAACATTGTGAGACATAACTAAACATAGTCTTAAACAAATGTTCCATGCTAAACTGAAGCAAACCACGGAAGAGTGAACTTTCTAGACATCAATGGCGAAGGCCACGTTGTTGGTGTCCTGGATTAGGGGTGTTTGCCATGTCGGTCCGCCTACCATGGTCCGGGCCGAGGACGCACCTAAGATTGATGGACGGGCCACATTGTCGTAACCAAGACGAGGATCTCCTGGAGGCTTGGCGTACACATCAAGCGTATGTGAATAGTTGGCGTGTTTATCCCTACATTGTAACCAACCATGTGTAAACCCTAGGTGCCCCTGGCGTCTATATAAGCAGTGGGATTTAGTCCGTAGAGACGGACACATTCACCTTAGCAAGGTTTAGAGCTTAGATAATACTCATACGATTTTGATGTAGATCAATTTGTACTTTGTACCCCATCACAATCAATGCATAAGAAGCAGGGCGTAGGGTTTTACCTCATTAAGAGAGCCTGAACCCGGGTAAAACATCGTGTCCCTACTCTTCTTGTTACCATCTAGCTCTGATCATCAAGCTTGGGACCCCCTACCCGAGATCTGCCGGTTTTAGCACCAACATTGGTGGGCCGTGTAGGTCTCGCTAAGTGATCACGAGAGCTTGATGGCAGGTATTCGGATCGCTGACGGCATCGGCTGTGGGCATATCTTTGTCCCCGGCCAACTTTTCACTTTTGGCAACATTGTACTGCACGCCGAGCCCTCTGGCTGCCCCGGCCAGGTGGAGAGCCTTACCCCCAGGCCAAGCCTTTCGGTTTGGCAATCTAGAATATGTCGTGGACTCCCGCGGCGAGCTTGTTGTTGGAAATATGCCCTAGAGGCAATAATAAAGTGGTTATTATTATATTTCCTTGTTCATGATAATCGTTTATTATCCATGTTATAATTGCATTGACCAGTAACTCAATACATGTTTGTGGATACATAGACAACAACATGTCCCTAGTAAGCCTCTATCAGACTAGCTCGTTGATCAAAGATGGCTATGGTTTCCTAGTCCTAGACATGAGTTGTCATTTGATAACGAGATCACATCATTGGGAGAATGATGTGATGGACAAGACCCAAACTACAAATGTAGCATATGATCGTATCAAGTTTATTGCTATCTTTTCTGCATGTCAAGTATATGTTCCTATGACAATGAGATCATGCAACTCACTGACACCAGAGGAATACCTTGTGTGTACCAAATGTCGCAACGTAACTGGATGACTATAAAGGTGCTCTACAGGTATCTCTGAGGGTGTTTGTTGACTTGGCATGGATCAAGACTGGGATTTGTCACTCCGTATGACAAAGAGGTATCTCAGGGCCCACTCGATAATACAACATCACAAGAAGCTTGCAAGCAATGTGACTAAAGAGTTAGCCATGTGATCTTGTATTACAGAACGGGTAAAGAGACTTGCCGATAACGATATTGAACTAGGTATGGAGACACTGACGATCGAATCTCGGGCAAGTAACATACCGATAGACAAAGGGAACTACATACGGGATTAGCTGAATCATTGACATCGAGGTTCGACCAATAAGATCTTCGTAGAACCAATATGGACATTCAGGTCCCGCTATTGGTTATTGACCGTAGAGGTGTCTCGGTCATGTCTACATAGTTCTCGTACCCGCAGGGTCTACACACTTAATGTTGGGTGACGATATAAGTATAGTTGAGTTGTTTTGGTGGTAACTGAAGGTTGTTCGGAGTCCCGGATGAGATCCCAAACATGACGAGGAACTCCGGAATGGTCTGCAGGTGAAGATTGATATATA